CCTGAATCTTTTAATAGTTTAGGGGAGAGTAACACCAACTACAGCCACAGGATATTCACATGAGGTAATGTGCAGCAAGTTGCAAGGATATGTGAGCTAAGGTGTTCTGATTCCATAAAATTTCTAGTTGCTACCTCAGGAAGCAATTTTAAGGAAGTGTGAGGAAAGAGCAGTGACAACCCCCTGTATCTGAAAAACTCAATACAGCTAGCTGATCCCCAGTGGAAAGAGCTCCCCTGTCTTCCATCAACATTCACTTCTTCATATACATATAAAAAGTTTGTAAGAATGTGGAGAAAAGGGAACCCTAGTGCACTGTTGGTGGGAATGTAAACTGGTGCGGCCACTATGGAAACAATACAACCGTTCCCCAAAATATTAAAAATAGAACTACCCTATGATCCAGCAATTCCACTTCTGGGTATTTATCCAAAGGAAATGAAAACACTAACTTGGAAAAATATCTGCACTTTCATGTTCACTGTAGCATTTTATTTTAAGTAGGCTCCATGCCCAGTGTGGAGCGCAACACAGGGCTTGAACTCATGACCTTGAGATTAAGACCTGAGCTGAGATCAAAAGTTGGATGCTTAACCGACTGAGCCACCCAGGCGCCCCTAGCATTTCTTGTTTTTTTATAATAGCCAAGACAGGGAAACAACCTAAGTGTCCATCAATGGATGAATGGATAAGAAAATGTAATATGTATATACAATGGAATATTATTCAGTCATAAAAAGAAAGGAAATCCTGCCATTTGCAACAACATGGATGGACCCTGGGAGCATTATACTAAGTGAAGTAAGACAGAGAAAAACAAATATAATATGATCTCCCTTATATGTGGACTCTAGGGAAAAAACATACACGCACATACACACACACAACTGAACGCAGAACAGATTCGTGATTGCCAGAGGTGAGAAATGTAGGGGGAGCAGAATGGGTGAAAGTGGTGAAAAGGTACAAACTCCCAATGATAAAAGAAATAAGTCCTGGAGTTGTAATGCACAGCATGGAGGGAAAAATAGTTTATAGAGGTTCCAGAATGCTCCCTATGTAGCCCTAGCTCTCCCTTAATGACCTATTTATATATGTTTTTCTAGCAATCTCTCTAAAGCCTCCTTGAAACTCTGTACATTTTTGTACTTTAAAATCTTATTTGGTTAGAATTTTCCTGTTTATCCCTGGATGTACAAAATGTACAAAAATGAATTTCATGAAGTCATGCCAATGCCTACTAATTGAGCACCTACAATGTGTCAGTCAACAAAGATCTCTGCCCTGCAGAGCTGAGGTTCTAAGTGAGGGACAGGCATAAACAGCTTTCACTATTCGTACTTAGCTTCCCAAGCTCTCTAGCCATCCTGGTACATGACCAAAACCTAGTTCTGCTTCCTTACATCTGAGTTACAGTGGAGACAACTGCATCAAGTGTTTCAGGCCATATACACGTCACAATGCCGTACAAAGGTACACACCTGTCTCTTGTTGTTTCTGACTTAATTTCTCATGATAGAATTGTGTTGGGTTTGCAACAGCAAAATATCTGATGTCTCCGTGATCCTCCTGACAACTCAAGATGTTGATAACTCAAATTTCTTTCACGTTTTGAAACAGTACCTTATGGCCATATTAAAAATGCCATTTCATTTATGTCTCCTCAAGGCAGCACCGGAAGCACATTTTCTGATCCACACTCCTAGCTTTACAAAATACTTCTGCTGTTTTTCCTTCTCTGATCAGCATTTCTATAGCTTGGAAGAATCAAGCAGCATCTGCACATTTTGGAGCCTTCACCTTTTAGACACTTTATATTCAGGAATCCTTGGGTAAATCCTTGGGGGCATGTCTTTGTCTTCTGTTAACTATATTTGAGCCAGGTAATTTTTTTAATACTCAGTTAAACTGAAATCCAACCCTATTTAGGCCCAGATGCAACATAAACCTGAACGCATAAGCAGGCTGTACATTTCACTCACACAAAAAAATCTAAAAATTATTTGGCCCTATTATTGTTTGAGTGAGAATTCTTTTAAATGGTTATTATCACCTTAGTCTCAGTTTTCTTACGATTCAATGGACTCACATAAAGCAATTGTATTTCTTCTCTCAACTTCAAATTATATTCCTAAACACAATAAAGTTATTTCTCTTCATGTGGAGCTAAGGAGGTAAGTGAAAGCAAAGTTGATGACATCCTAATTTCTGCCTAAACCTTCTTAATCTCCAGCATTCTAGCAGATCTACCTTCCAGCTCTAAACTGAACCAGAGGTGATTTTATGAGTACCTTCCAGACCCTTTATTCCCTTTTGAAGGAAGCTGAACTGAACCACTCACCCAGATGATGGGTTCTCACCAAAAAACAGAAAGAAGAAAACTTAAGACAGATAGAACACCAAAATGAAGACATCTGTTTCTGAGGAAGGTTAGCTGGCAATTTTATACCCACTTAAAACACCACACAAACACATATATGTATGGTTTCAGTACAGAAATATTATAGACAGAATTTTTTCTGAGGAATGCCATAATGATTTCTTTAGTCTAATGTTGCAGGGGTTTTTTGTTTTTAGATATAGTAAGCCTTGAAAAATACAGTTTCTTTTTTTTCTGAATCACAGTAAAAATGGAAGATTAAAATAGTTGCCTTTTAAGAGATATTTTTGATATTCAGATCTTCAAAATACTGGTTTCTAACAAAAGATCAGCCCCCAAATTTGAGTCTTATCTACAAACTCTGAAATGTAGCACATATTATCACATCCTAAGTGTGGTCCAATCTGCATTTGGGGGACAGAGACTTTTGAAAGGGGCAGAGTAGATACTGGCAGGTCTGTTATGGGGCCACCAGAGTGGCCTGGGAGAGGGATGATGACAGCCTGGACGCAGGAAAGGGCAGCGGGCGTCATGGCCAGCAGACAAGATCTGCCAGGTACAGTGCGTTAACATACAAGCTCTCTTCACATCAAGTTCTCCAGCAGACCTCACAGAGAGGCCCGCATGGTCACTGCCTCTCTCCCTTAATGCCCTGTATCCTTCCTTCAATTAACCCCTGTTAACTAAGGTATCTGAACACCTGTCTCTGTTTCAATACTTTTATCACCACTAATATGGAATCTGGCATTCAAAACTTCCAGTCTCAGTAACCAGAGACACCTGGCCATTCTCAGCCGCCCCCTTTGCTGAAGGACGGCCCTGAGATAAGGCTAAAAATGTTCAGCAGGAAAAACCTATGCTATAAGCAGAGGCAAGTTACATTTACTCTGCCCTTTCAACCCCTTACAAAAACGCAAGTCAGACCATGCCATTCTTATGCTTAAAACCTTCAATACAGCCCCACTGGTTTTAGGATTTAAACCAAATCCAGGGCGCCTGGGTGGCTCAGTTGGTTAAGCGACTGCCTTCGGCTCAGGTCATGATCCTGGAGTCCCGGGATCGAGTCCCGCATCGGGCTCCCAGCAGGGAGTCTGCTTCTCCCTCTGACCCTCTTCCCTCTCGTGCTCTCTGTCTCTCATTCTCTCTCTCTCAAATAAATAAATAAAATCTTTAAAAAATAAATAAATAAATAAATAAATAAATAAACCAAATCCAAACTTGCAAATCTTAAGAAATCATCCTTAAAATCCTGGGAAGGGGGGTTATTCAATTTTATAAAAATAAAAATAATACTAAAAATCCCCAAGAATTATCTAAAATGATGACAAATCTCCCAGACATTACATTACAGGTAAATTAGTTTTGCTTGTCTTCCCGCTGGTACATAAGCTCCAGGAAGATGGAAATGCTAAACCAGTGCATGCCCATAGCAGAGGTGCAGTAAGACTATTCAATGAAGGAAAGCCCCAGGTACTACTGTGACCCACACAAAGTTCTAAGCAATGTTCTTTATTCACTTATCAGAAAGAAAAGGGTAGATAAGGTGGCAAAGTTCATCATACACTGGTTCAAGAGTTTTCTCAATTTCCAAAGTTATCCATAGTTGCCAGGAAATAAGACAAAGGAGAAAAATGATCAAACCCTACATGCTATTAATGAAATGAATATTGAAAGAACATTAAGGTATCATTACCCTTGACACCTGAACAACACAGGTTGAACTGTATAGGTCCACTTTTATGCAAATTTTGTTTCAATAGAGTACAGTACTATAAATGGATTTTCTCTTATGATTTTAATAACCTTTTCTCTAGCTTACTTTATTCTGAGAATACAGTATATAATACCTACAACATAGAATACATGTTAATCAGCTTTATGTTATCTGTAGGGCTTCTGGTCAACAGTAGGCTATTAGTAAAGTTTCTAGGGAGTCAAAAGTTATACACAGATTTTGAACTGCGTAGGGGGTGGGCCCCCATAGCCCCTGCACTGTTCCAAGGTCGATTGGATACACATTCTAAAACATCAAAAACATTTCTTTCCACTAAGCCACACTCAGGAAAGACTGGAAGCAGGGAGAGGGGAAGACAGTAAGACATTCCTGAAAAAATATCACTACTGGTGACCATGGAGGTTCTGTCTTCCTAAAAAGCAACCTGGAAAAATATAACAAGCTCTATAAAATGGTTCATACTCTTTAACTACAGAATCTCTCTTTACAAAACATACCCCAAAGAAATAGGTAAGCCAAAAAGGAAATAAAGAAACTTATAAAACATGTACATGGCCTAATGGTAATAATAATGAAAAACTGGAAACATTTCAAATGATCAAAAACAAGATTAAGCTAACTATGAGAAAGCAACACCGTAGACTATACAGCCTTTCACAAGACGCACATGGATTCCACTGGTACTTCACATATATGTATTATTTCTATACAAATCAGGATTTTTTTCAAAAAAGCAGAAAATAATAAAATCCCAATTCTGAAACCTGGTGAGTTTAACACCTCTAACAATCCTATATAAAAAGGGCTGCAAAAGATACATCAATTTAGAGGACTACAAAGTGTGGTGTTTACCAGAATTCAAAATAAATCTACTATTAAAATTACCTGTGTTTGTGAAAGCTGAATGCTCTGGACCTGTGGAAGCAGAAAGTAAGTATTTGGTAGCTGCTTTGCAGACCCTTCTGTAGAGATTCTTCGAGTGCCAATTCCAGATACCTTCAGGAAAAAAAAAAAGAGTTAATTACTCCCCTATTCGTTTTGAAACATACTTGTCATAATGTTAAAATACCTTTCCAAAGGAAATCTGTATTCACCACCTTGGTCTTTAAGACCCTATTAATCCAATTATTATATATATATTTTTATCTACAAAAGAAAGCAACAAAAGTTGCTATATTTAAGCTAAATGTTCCTCACTGTAGCAAATCTTTCCAGAAATAAACAATTTTTCTGATATGGGACCAAGTGTTTAATGGAAACCAGTCGGAAATAACCACAAAAATGACAGACCTTGGCTTGATGCCACATCCTATTAAAGATGTCACAGATACCACTTAAGATGTACCTCTGAAATAAATAGTACATTATATGTTTAAAAAAAAAAAAGTAAGAAGTGAAAAATGAAGGGGGGAAATCGGAGGGGGGAGACAAACCATGAGAGACTATGGACTCTGAAAAACAAACTGAAGGTTCTGGTTAACCTGGTGATGGGTATTCAAGAGGGCACGTACTGCATGGAGTACTGGGTGTTATACGCAAACAATGAATCATGGAACACTACATCAAAAACTAATGATGTAATGTATGGTGATTAACATAACATAATAAAATAAAGTGAAAAAAAAGATTTCCTAACTACTTTGTGAACAACAACAAAAAGATTCTTCACACTCCATCCCTGGTACCTAGATATGAATAGCAAGCTCCCTGAGAACTGGCCATGTCCCCTGATTAGACATATTCCTGAGCCCAGGAGGCAAGGGGGCAGAAGCACTAGGGACTGCCTTTATAAGCTCCTCCCTCTGGACTGCTCATGAGGTCAGGGCAGAGTTCTGAAAGCCCACTCTATTTTATAATAGAAATAGGATATGGTAGCCTTCTTTGTTTTGTTCCAGTGCCGTTCAAAGACCCATAGTGAGAGTTTCAGCTCTGTGCTCTGAGCCCGAGACAGCCAACTGTGTGTGGCATGGGAGGCAGAAGAAGGGGGAGAGCTGGTGAGTTTACATCACTAACAATCGTATATTCTAATGACATAAAGCAGGTGGCAACATTTCCAAAAGTCTTTTATAAAATATCCAAACCCCTCTGTTAAATCAACACCCAAATCAAGGGACTAGAGGGAAAAGTTACTTACATGATAGGGAAGGACTCCATACGAGGAGGTATTAATAAATAAAGAACTTTCAATGCTTCCTTCTTCAGTAGGTAAGAAAATAATTCTGAAGGATGTCTTCCCCATTGCTGGAATTACCTGAAAGGAAGGGACCAAATTAGCCATTTGGAATGGACCTCTGTAAAAAAGAGTCTTTCAGAGACCCCCTTTTTGACAATTTCCATTAACAGATGTCTAAATATTCTGTGCCCTTGATTCAGAAGTATCATGAATCCCTGAGAATCACCAAATGGATCAAAATCCAACAATCGAAGATAATGTAGCAAAGAACACACCGCAGACTTACAGCAAGGCCGCTGCCGAGTCCTTTCCTTTCGGATTGGGAATCCCGCGCCCTCACATTCTCCCTCTTCCCTCCTCTCCGGCACCATGTGTTCAACGGCCTTTATCAAACACAGTTCTAACTCTACTTAAGTAAAAGGAGCCACCGATGTACAAACCTGCCAATTCCTAATGAAAGTCAGCAGCTGCATTTATCTGGACAGACTACCATAAACACAATACTGGGCTCCCTGTTGCACCATCTCCTTGGTTCCATATTTAAAAGGAAAACAGTGTATCAGGTAGACATAAGTAAGCTAAATAAACACATAAAACCCACTAGTAATTGGGATCTTCCCTGAACGTTAAAGACCACTGAAATCTAAACTACCAGAAGATCAGGGTTTGGTAGCTCTCTTATGGTGCAAATTAGCTTTATAAGGGCCATTCACTACTTTCTAGTCCTACATTTAGAAAGGAGTCCTATTCTAGTAGGTTTGCCAGGCCAAGAGATCACGACTCTAAAACTTGTATTAATTACTAGATGGTTCAGCATTTGTAGTCATTTTAAGACACATAATACTGTTTCTTTAACTATGAAAAAGTCCTATTAGATATACAACATTATACCTTGTTTAGACTCTAAATTTTTTTTTCCCATGGAGATATCAAGAGCCACCAAAATTATGGACAAATGAAATAAATAAATGCTAAAGCAAGCACGCAGAAGGAAAGAGTGTGGGTAGCAGAAAAAGGGGAGACAGGGAGCAGAAAGTAAAAACTCCAGGCCAAAGAAAGCAAGAAAACCTGGCCACCTGCCATAGCAGTTTCAAAGAGTACATCAACACTTACCCTGCAATGAACAGGAGGCACATGAAAATGTCTAGCAGCTGTAAACACTGAATTCACCACGACCTCACTATCCCTACTAGGGTTATAAGCATAGAGAATCTTTGCTGCAGGGTGACCCAGGAACCTAGGAGGGGAAGAAGGAGGAAAAAACCAATGGATTGTGTGATCGTGAATATAGCCATCCATCCACCCATCTCTCCACCCACTCACACATGTATATACTTTAAACCCAAAAAGCTGTTGATGTTCATTAAAGCTAAAGGCAACAATGATTAAATCCTGCTATTAATAAAACATTTAATTCACAAGTCAAAAACTTTTAAAAGAATCCTTTCTTTTATGAGACACTTAGGCCAACCGCTGGTAACACCTCACTGACTTTGGCGTTAGAAGAACACAATCCATTAAAATGCTTGCAAATACAGAGTAGGAACTAGGTTCTCGCCTAATGGGGCTCTAATTCAAATGAAAATAGGTTCAGATAAGAAACCGTACTCACAGAAAAACCCAGTTTGTTTAAAGTTTCTTCTCTGAGTAATAAGTTTAAAGAGGTTTTGGTGGGGGCGGGGAATGGATTTCTACTCACAAAGAGACTTTATCAAGTCTCATGAAAGGAAAACGTAATTGTTGCTAAAGACCATTCTTCTGAGAAGAATGTAAACTCAGCAACACTTTCTATCGCTTGTTCTTATCCATTTAAATCATGAGTTTTTTAGAAAATTCTGAGGAAAGCTTTGGCTCCTCCCTCCACAAACAGACACACACGGAAATTTTAGACCTAATTTCAAAACATTCGTGCACTAAAGGTAAGAATATCTGCTTTCCAGCGAACACCCTCACTGATGAGGACACTCATGTTGATTTTGTCCTTCCTCCTCGTTTCCACTTGCAAGGCTAGCAAAGGAATTGCAAAGGAGCGGAGCTATCTCTGGCCCACCTACGTGCCATGTTCCCTGGAATCCTTTACCTCTGGGTTGCTACCAGTTAAGTCACACTGTCATACACAGAGAGCCACAAAAATTTCACTGAAGCCACTTCTCCAGTTTTAATGCCCTCAGAGGCAGGGACCCGAGTATCCAGCTCTCTTTAATATGGCCTAGAAATAAAACTATATTCTATATTAATAACTCATCTACATTATACTTGTATTTCTCTGATACTAAGAATTGTGTGTTTTAGAGAAAATGAAGTACATGCTGTCTTATGTACAATGGGATTTCCAAACTACTGTATCCTGCGATCAAATCCCTCACATTCCTCTTCCAGCTTTTCCTCCGACTTTTTTTTTTTAAGTAAGCTCCAAGCCCAGCGCAGAGGCCAATGCGGAACTTGAACTCATGACCCTCAGATCAAGACCTGAGCTAATATCAAGAGTCAGATGCTTAACCGACTGAGCCACTCAGGTACCCCACACCTCCTACTTTTAATCACAAGTCTTAACTGAAGATTTAATATAGCCAATGTGTATTTATAAAAATATGCCCTTTACATCCAGTTATAAATAAAAGACACACTAATGTGATCAAAACCTTGATTTTTAAAAATTTTTATTATTATTATTATTTTAATGTTCTTAACTAATACAACTAATTTTTTTTTATACTACCATAAAGGGTCAACTCAGAGAGCCCTGCCTTGGGAGTGCTGGGCTCACATTTGCCTTTTCCCTCCATTAAGTTAAATAAACAAAGACTTACATCGTTTTAGGTTTTAGGTAAATAATACAACTCAATCAGCAAAGTTCTTACTACTTATCCTCAAAGTTTTATATCGTATTCATATCACTGGAATATAAGATGTTTAGTTTAAAAAAAATACAGATGTTGCCCAAACAAAAACACATTAGAAATCAGACTCCAAACAGCAATTCTACAGAGCCCAGTGACCGCATCCACCAGAAACCTCACCAGACCTAACATAGACCTAGTTTACCACTGTGCTATTTTTATTCTATTTTTTAATTCTATTTTTAAAACTGTTATGAGGATAAGAATTTCCTCCACTAGTGACAACTGGAAGATACTCTATTAATTTAATACTATAAAAGAATGATTAAAATCTCTTATGAATGATTAGCACTTTTAATCTCCGGACCAGCAGAATATTAACCCTTATAATCAACCCTAAGAAGTGGGCAGAAGGCAGATGAATCTCACAATCCTGATTCTGCATCTCAGAGGGAAACCAAAGCTATGAAAAGTGATGGGGTTTGCCCAAGGTCAGCTTCGAAATAAACAATAGCAAAAGCTGAGCAAAGGCATTGAAGAAATCAAGAGAAGAACTGGCTGAAGTCTGAATCTAATGCCTATAAATTAGACCATTTGTTTAAAAGTTAGGAAAAACTTGACTAATTTTAGAAGTGTTCTGGGATGCCTGGGTGGCTCAGTCGGTTAAGTGTCTGCCTTCAGCCCAGGTCATGATCCCGAGTCGCAGAATCAAGTCCCACATCGGGCTCCCTGCTCAGCGGGGAGCCTACTTCTCCCTCTGCCCCTTCCCCACTCATGTTCTCTCTCTAATAAATAAATAAAATCTTAAAAAAAAAAAAAAGAAGTGTTCTAATTTAGATTACTGTTTGTTCTTACCAAGATTTTTAAAAAACTTTAGCAAAATTAATTTATTCCCATAATCATATCCTAGAGCTCACTTATAAAAAAAAATAGCATGGAATGTGCTGGCTTAGAAATCAGAAGACTTGTTCTGTCACTTCTAGTCAAACGCCCTTGGGCAAAAAACATTACTGCTCAGCAACAAATTCATGAGCATCTGTAGTCCATGCTCAAGTACAGAGATATTTGAAAATGACACACAAGCAACTCGCTGTCTCTCTCTCTCTCAGATAATACCTGCCCCCACTACTCCACTATCCTTCTAGGATTGATAGAAGATTCAACTGACAAGAGACACAACTGTACTTTGAGAACTATAAAGTACTACATAAACAAAACTGAACCATCCAAAGGTGAGTCAAGGCTAAAGTGTAAATAACCTTTGCAAATAAAACATTTTAAACATTTGCTTTTCAACCTGCTTCAAGTCATCAGGACCAGAAACGGATGCATATAGCTAATTAACATTTGTAGCCAAGACATCCATCCCTCCATGTGCACTGATCACAGTTATCTTCCTGAAGAATAAATGTATCATAGCTAGCATCCTATGAACTGGAGTTATTATCCTCATCTAACTGTATTTACTACTATTCATTTTATTATATCTACCAATCTGTAATATATTTTTTCTTTTTCATATTTTTAATTTAGATTTTGTTAGTTAACATACAGTGCAATGTTGTATAATATGTATTTTTTAAAAGTAGGTCCTGCATTAAAGCTCCCTTTTACGATAAAGACTTTTCACCTAAGTAAAGCAATCTTTCAGAATCTCAAACCAGTGAGGTTTTATCATAAATTCAGCTTTGAATGTTTCTTTACCTAACAGTAAAAATACACAAATTCAAACACAAAAGAACCAGACACCTAGAATCTGGTAAAGTCAGCAAGCGCCCTTCCCACTTTCCTCTCTTCTTCCTTTTACAGAATCTCCTTTAAAAGCTCAACAAGGTACTTTTACATTTAAAATTCCTTCTTTACTGCAGCTCTAATCTTTTGCTGATCAGAAGGAACGGGAAAGAAGGCAATCCAGATGAGTCAAGGAGGGCACCCCAAGAGCCCACCACTAACTCCCCCCAGATGCTCTCCCAGCACCATGCCTATTTCATTCACCTAACTCATCCTGTAACTCAAAACAGCTCTTTGTGAAACTGATGTTCCAGGCTGCTGAAGTAAGCCGAGCTTTGACACCTGAAACACTTTTACTTCCATACTTGAAACTCTATGACCGTGAAACTGTATCTTCTCAGTGCCAAGATATGCTGCACCCAGGGCGTTTAACACCTGAAGTTTCGAACTTCAACCACTTTAAGTGTTAATGCCAACAAGAGTCCTTAAGTTCTCCCTTCAGCCCAGCATTGCCCTTCTCCTAATTTCTCCAAGTTCCCAGATTAGTCCCTCACCCAACAACACTCAAGTCACGTTCCCTTCATCTTCCTGGTTCCGAATGTGATGCACTGTAAGTAATTACAGTTTATATGCTGTCTTCCCCACTTGACTTATTTCCAAAGTCTTAATGGTAACAACTAACGTTTGCACAGAGCATTAACAAAGCATAACGAGAAGTAAAAACAAGCAAATGAATCTAATGAAAAGAATTCAGAAACCATCAGTATTTAGTCTTTTTCACTATAAAAGGACCTGATTTGTTATAGAAAAACAGGACTTAATATTGCCTTCTTATTAAATTCCAATCACTATAAAACATTATAAGGAGTATTTATTAAAAACTGAAGAAATGGCTAAAACAATTTTACACTCTCCTTTTCACAAAAATATTCCTCTTAACAAGTCCCAAGGTCAATATCCCTTATATTACTAATATACTTAAAATGTACTTAACATTTTATATATAGATATATAAATACATTTTAAATATGTTAATATATTTTAAGCATATATATAAATGATATCCTGAGAGCAAATAATGCAAATTAAACAAGTTATTAACAATTATAAAGAAGATACTTACTGAATTCCAAAATCTAGAACTGATGGCTGAAAATGTAAGCCCTTTCCACTAAATAGTTTGTCTGAGAAGCTAAAAAAGAAAAGACAAGACAGATTAATTTTGTTGTAAATTAATTTTTTTGAAATCTGAATGCTTAGTTAAGAGTATATACTTAGGGCAATGGCTCTCACGAGACATAATTTTACTCCCTTATAGATGAGTCTAAATTGGTTTTAAATGTAAAAATTGAATTATTAGAAGTCTAATATAATTCTACAGCTGCAAAAATTTAAGATACTTTTAGATGATTAGATGATGGTTAATATAACTTCGTATCAAATGTACAGATTCTATAAGCATTCAGCAAAAATGGGGAAGCATTTAAGTTTTAATAGGCTTCATTTCTGGATGCATTTGAATAACATGACTATTTTCATAAACTCCAAATCAAGAAAAGACATACATGTAAGGCAGGTGGAGGTGAGGGGCTGAAGAGGGAAAGAGATTTGGCCTCTAAATTAGTAGACTAACAGGGAAAGGATGGGGAGTGTAGCCAGGGTTGCCCCTCAAGGCCAAAACCATCACCAAATCTGTATTTTTAAGAATAATCTTTACATAAAACCTCACATGGCAGTCATATTTTTCTGCAGTTTTTAATCATTATGATGATTTTTCTTCAGAACCAAGACACAAATTAACATACCCAAAAACATATAAAGAAAACAAATAAAAGAAAAAACATATATATAACATAACATAATGTACATACACATACATATACATAAATATACTTAAAGACCTAAAATGCAAAGCATGTGTATATATATGTGCATGTGTATGTGTGATATATACACCAAGAAACTCTCAGTGGTCATATGACATTTTATTTTTTAAAAAATATTTATTTGAGAGAGAGAGTGCATGCACAAATGGTGGGGCGAGGGGAGACAGAGAGAGAATCTTAAGCAGACTCCATGCTGAGCACAGAGTCCAACTCGGGGCTCAATTTCATGACCCGGAGATCATGACGTGAGCCAAAATCAAGAGTCAGAGGCTTAACCAACTGAGCCACCCAGGCACCTGGGTCATATGACATTTTAAAAGCCATGTAATCCAAAAATTTTTAACTGAAGAAGCCCCGAAATGCAACGTGTATAGCTATTTTCAAAGACTCCAGCAAACTTTCCAAAATACAGTGTTTCCCTTATCTCCTCCCACCACCTAAGTGCTCCACCAAACATGGTCCCAAGACTGGTCCAGGAGTGGACATCTGAGTTGCAGAGCTGCTGGCCGATAGCTTTGTGACCTTCAGCAAGCCCGTCTCCCATTTCCTTGAAGGTGCAAACAACACAGAGACCAAAGAACCCCTCCAAAATCCTCATCTGATAGGAAGAATCCTGGCTGCAATTTTTCCTTCCTCCCTTCACTTTACTTCCCCTATCTAAATCAAGGTGACAGCTCAGTCTCCATCTGCCCAACTTCTGCCACTTCTCCACTGGTGTTGAACTTAAGCAGAGAAGAGGTATGCTGTTTACTGATCTCCCCCCAACCCCAAAAGGCCAGGACTCACTCCATGACTTGTGTACCAAAAGGCCACTAACACACCTAGTTGCCTCCAGAAATGTTTTGGAGAACCCCAGGAGGTGACGGATGTAAAGAAGTGCCAACATCAGATGAGGTGGCCAGGGCTCAGCATTCTAGAAGAAAAAGAAAACAGGCAACTTCGCATGCCAAAAACTATCTTAGAAAAGTCAGGCCACTGTATAAGTAATAAGTAAAATAATTATAGTCTCTTCCTGTCTCGTGTACCGAAAGTGGATTTATCCATCAGATTTCACACCCAACTTCTGAACGAAGACAAGGTTTTAAGGATTTAAGCAATTCACTCAAGATCCCACAGCTACTGAGAGAGCCAGAATGCCAATGCAGATCTATCGAGGTCAGAAACATGAAGCTAGCAAGAAGTTCAGGCCTATCCAAGTTCACAGGACCTACCCAAGGAACCAAGGCAGTCTAGTGGCTGGGTGAGGGTTTGGGCTTCAGAGTGTAGACAAACTTAGATTCCAGGCCCAAGGTCACCACTCTCTAGTCCGGAGCAGGTCAATCACTTAACTTCTCAAAAGTTCCAGCCTTATTATTTTAAAATGAAGATGACAACAGTATCTACCATACAGTTATCCTGAGGTTAAAATCAGATAATAATGCCTTTGCTTCGTGCCTGGCACACAGTTAAAAGTGCAATAAATATTAGATCATGTTACTAAGAGGAAGACTGTCACCTAACAAGAAAAGTAATGAGAACAGATGGAGAAGCCAATTGGGCTTGAGTCAGAGCTGACCTGGGGATTTAAAAGTCCCAAACGGGTAGCAGTAATTATCTCTGAATAGAACAAACGAAATATAAACCTGGGCCATCTCATATCACAACAGAGATTTTTCAATCCCACAATCAGGAAGTTTTACAAACCCAACAAAAATCAGATATGTAAGGTCCAACTTAAAGCAATAGGACTAGACATAGCCAGAATTTCTCTAACTTCGGAGAAAACCCTATTTTAATCTCATAATGGAGAAGTAAAATCATGTCAATATTTCTTCCTAAAAGTCATAGAACAGATTCATTTTTCTCTTTGGTCAGTTTCAACTCACTTGACTTTACAATTTGGAAAGGAGATCAAGTTACAAGGAGATTTAACATCACTGCCTAAGTTAAAAAGTTAGTTTTCAAAGATAAAACCATCTTAGACGTAGGTACTGCCCTGGACAATACTCACACATGCGCACATGCCCTCAAGTATTAAAGATGGAAGGGGGAAACCGCAGCAAACTGCCAAAATTTAGCCAACTGTGGACATCAACAACCATCCTCAAATATCAGTGGTAGCTAAGAAATTACACTGTGTTTAAAGATGCCAAAGTTTTCATTTCCAAATCGATGACATCAAAGTAACTTAAGCCTTATGAGCTACAGCAGTAAAAGACAAAATTCCCTCCCCTTTCTCCTTTACTCAAAAGTCAGCATTGACCTTTTCGACATGTGTGCCCTTAGTAATGTGAATGCTTTTTTTCTGTCACAGTTCACCTGGCCTCTTTCACTCTTAGGAGTCCCCTCATCCGGCGTAAAATAAACTCAGGCATCTTGTCAAAACAAATGATAAATTCGTGTCACATATTTCTAATGTTCACCCCTCCCTGACCAGCAAGAGAATTCTAAGGAAAAGAGAAAAATAAAAGAGCCATTTTGCTTCCCTAACAGGAACACAGGGAGAGGAAATAGAGGTGACAGTCATCTGAGGTGAGGGGGCTCTTGTTTATATGGACCCTGCCCCATACACTCTCTTAGCCCTTCTGAAGACACCTGCCTTCCGCAGAGCTGACTCTTCCCTCAGCGGCAGGACATGCGGAGGAGGAATTCTACACGTGCTGTCTGGAAAGAATATCATTACCTAAGATTATCTGACTTTTCCTCTTTTATCTCCTCTTTTTTCAGAAACTTCAGCTAACTTTTTTTCTCTCTATATAATTATAAACAAAGAAACAGTTCAAAAAAGTGGGTAGAATAAGAGAAAAGAAATTTCTGTGGAAATGAGGAGACCTTGGTTCGGGTCCCAGGTCCGATAAGAGTTTCCTTTTTGGCAAACTTACGGAGCATGGCTCTGACATCCTTAGAGGAGTGTTCAGATGCTCAGACTCTGTATTCCTAGGAAAATTAAATCTATCTGCTAATATCAGACACAACCATTAAAACATTTCAGTCCAGTGACTTCGATATGGAAATGAGTTAACTATAACCAACTGCTCAGGCCACTCAGAAATGTTATCTGACCAAATGAACACATCACTGCAAACGTAGTGCTCCACCTCTCTGGAATGAGCAACAGGGCCCAGGAAATGCAGACCCAGCCTTGTGGCAAATACTCAGTAAGGACTGGCTGCGCCGGGGCAAGGGGCTAGCTCTGGAAAGATTCTCCCCTCAAGGTTAAGATCCAGGGAGCCAGACAAGGCTTGCAGGCCAACAAGCAAAACTCAAAGATCGAGAAGTTCAAAGAGAGCAAGAGAACTCTCTGAAAAAGTCAGGAAAGGCTTGGGGTTGGGGGTGCGAGGAGGCAGGGGCGTCAAGGAAGTGACCTCGAATGGAAACTGAAGGAAGGCCACTTGAACAAAACTAACAGCCGGAGGGAAGACACAAAGGCTAAGGAAAGCACAGGCCACATCTGGAGAACACCATCCAAGCAAGGAAAACACACTAGACAGTTGGCCTGGCGGCTCTGAGTGGTGGAGTGCAGACAGGGAGGGAGCCAACGATGAGGCCTTGCTGGACAACGAGAACACTGGGATGGGACACGAGCCCGACACACACCACAATGCGCCCCTGAAACGAGTCTCAGGCACTGTGGGTCTGTGCTGGGACTTTACTCCTAAAGGAACCTGAAGGTTTAACCAGTTTCTGGAGAAGACTGTAGTGTTTCAGAACACGGCCTTCAGAGGCTGTTGTCGTCCTTTCTGAACAGGTAAAAAATAACTTTACCCTCTGGCGGGGATTTGAGAAACAACAGTGACCACCTCCAGGGAGGATGGAACTGTCTGGTTTTTCATATTCCTAAATGGACTGGTTTCCGTCGGCCTCTCAAAGCCCCAACATCTACAGCTCCCTGCCTTTCCAGGCAAACTCTTTCAATCCCTCGAGAGAGGGCCCTGACCAGGCTTTAGCCACTGGATGAGGACAAGGACAAGGGGACTCGCTTCACACATATTTTGCAAACCCTCTCTGCCTAAGAAAGGTAACAAAGGAGACCGTAGCAAAATAACACTATTGTCTAGACTCTGAAGCATTCGAGGAAAGACATGTTATGCTACTGAGCTACTTACTGGGCTGTTCTCCTTAGTCAGGAGAATGGGAGCGCCCATCAGAGCCCAGGGCTGCGAATGCTGGAAAAGACCTACAGATTCCACAAAGGTAGGGATTCATGCACTGTTAATTCCCTTGGACCTTGAGCCAACAACAGGTACTTCCAGGACTCAGCTGCTAGTCCCAGGCACCCCGGGGGATTTCAGTACACTTCCGTTATACAGAACTGGGATGGATCCCT